GCCGGGAGTTCGGTGTGCAGCGGCCCCTCGCGCGCGCGCGGCGGCTGTTGGTGCCGAAAAGTATCGAAAATCAAAAGGAAAAAAATATTATAAATGAAAGTAACGCGAAGCTCATGTGTGTAGTCAACCGTAATGGGGGGGGGGAGGTGAAATAAATTTGCAGCCTTGAAATGAGAGGGGGTTCGTAGGAGCCAAGAGCCCCTGCAGTCCGTGAGTGCTTCCCAAGGCCTCTAGGGATTTCCACAGGCCCCCCCGCCGCCGTTTAATAGGCCCCGATTTTTAATCGCCCATTTTGTAGGCCTATCATACCCCTTTCCCAATCTTTTCCACAGTGAAGGCACCTCTATTTAGTCATGCCTGTCAGTACAGCTACCATCAAATACACAGTCAATTTTAAGGGAGAAGCTGTTCTAAACAGTGTCCGTGCAACAGATGTAAAGCTACTACTTTACCCTTCAGCTGCAGCCAAAGAGTTAAGATGAAAAGAAAGAACCACGTTTGTACAGTCCCTGCTCACCTTCAGTATCCATTATACTTAAACAGCTTGTATAAACGACTTTTCACCACAGCTGTACCACAAGTAAAATTTAATGCATACGAAACCTCACATGAATTTATATTTCAATAAAGAAAGCTGCTACAAAATAGCATCTTGCTTATCAAAGTATTTCCAAATTGAGGCACATGCATTTCAGCCACATTAGCGTAAACAGCAGGCAACACAAGACATCAACAGACATTGCATCTGTTTAGAAACATTAAATAAGAGATACATTAAACGATCACGGTAAATATTGGCCATGCTAATAAATGCCCTTTGCAAGTTGCCTTAGTTACCAAATAAAACCCAGCAAATCCTTATTCTGAGTATTTTCTAGTAAAAACTTATATGACAGATTACATTTCAAGCCAATAGACACACTCAAACTGATTTTACACTAAAATGCATATAAAGTTTTATCATAAAAGTTTATAAATGTTCTTTTAATGTTTATAAAAGCTTCCTGTGGCCCAAGGCTCAAAATAGGTTAGCCACTTCAAAAATTGTAGCAAATCACTAGGATTTAATTCTTAATTGTTTTTGAAACACATTCTTCTCATGATATTGAATATGAATTTTTGACAAGTAATTCATCTGAACAAACTGGTTTTACCTAGTGGCACAATTACTATACTCTAGGAGTTCCTTTGCCTCTCAGGTTTTTCAGGCATGAAGGCAGACAGTTCCCTTTAGAATATGTACTCACCATTATTTATTTCTCACAAGAGAGAACACAAGTGCATTGGAGCTTTTTCTTTTTGGTAGCAACATATTTTCAAGGAAGTGTTTCATAACACATACAATGCGGCCAAAGACCTTGGACATTTTGAGCAACAACTGAGTAGATGTTGTTTCCCTTATTTTTTTTAAAAAAAGGGTCATAATTCCATAAAAAGGGACTACAAAACCACAGTGCTAATAATGCCCAGATATTTAGACCTTTATAGAACAGACATCGTAAATGCATATATACAAATTTCGTGTGGCACATTACACTTTCATGGGTAATTATTTTTAATAAAAATATATTGTAATATAAAATATTAAAAACAAGCTATTTAACTTGTACCACATGGACTTCATATACTTGACATTTAAAGAGGACCATTGTATGATAATATATTAGAGATTATTTTCAAGTAAATTAAGATTCAATTTTTGTAGACACATCTATACTAGAGTATTCCAGCACTATCTATTTCAGTATCTGAAATATGCGAAATATAGCAAAGAAGTAAAAATCTGAAAGTTTATATAGTTTTCAGTTTCAAGCATGTTTTTCTATATGCAAGGTTCCCATTGTCTTAAATGGAAACTAAATATTGGGGCCTATTCCACAGGAATTTGGGGACAGCTAAAGTACTTCCTACAGAGAGGCAGTGAAAGTCAATGTAATCACTTTTCCTCACTTGATTTTTAATTATTTGAACAGTGCTTAGATTTTCAAGAACTATTAACAATTTGGTTTCCTGCTTTTGGAACCAGGAGTATCCAGAAATCTTTTGAAAAGTTACACCTTCCCCAGCAGACTACAGGAAGAGAAATTGCTCTGCTGAACTAAGGTTACTCTCAACTTTAAGTGCCTGTGAGAGCAAAGGACTGAAAGCCCTAACTTAGAAAAACTTAACACCCAGTTAAGATCAAGGATCAGCATATGACATATTAGAGCAGTTCAGACCCATCTGTTTGACCTCCATTGGATAAACAAAATGCTTACAGCCACTATATGCAGACATTATTCCATGATCTCTTCTTTCCCCCCTCAAGAGTTTATCATGAATCCCTCAATTACAATGGACAAGCTGTGAACAGTTCCTGCTTTAAACTGTGAACTCTCCTGTAACTGCTATATTCAAGACAGCTTATAATACTGGCACTCTTCAATTAAACATAGGCTAAGTTCTAGTTCCAGTAATTGCAGGAGTACTAGAACACGGCCAAATGTGTACCTGTTCTTGGCTATAAAAGCCATTATACTACTCTTTTGCTTCAGTCTTTTTTTAAAAGGTTAAGTGTTATCATAAAAATATATAAGCATAATAAATTTTAGAGAAAGTTGTCACATCATAATTGCATCAGTAAGTACATTTAAGTTTTTTAAAAAATTGAATATGCTTTACATTTTGCCACCATTAAGTTACTCTGCCAGCTCTTCCTCACTACAAGTGATTATAAATGCTTGCCCCCAAAGCCAATATTTTACTGGCTATTACAAGCAATACAAACCAATAAACAGATTTAATCTATTAAAATATACATACTCAAAATTATTTTTTTTCCTATGGATTTCACAAGCTATCTGCATATTTTGCAAGATCTGTCTCCCTCATTAACAGTCACTGGAGTGGGTTATTTGTAGTGATCCCTATGTGATCACAGTGTCTCTATTATAAAGTCTGAAGGGAGAAGAACAGGGTACAAGGAGTAGGTCACTATTTTCAATTGGCAGCTGCTTCCGTTTCCGCATTCCCTTTTGGTGCATCAGAAAAAAGGAGTTTCCTAAGGATGCTTGCATAGAAGGGTCCATACACTTGCTTGTTAAAGTTAACAATGTTCGCATACTGAGATCCAAGTTGCTCCATCTCCGGCTGGATCACGGAAAGGCCTCCCGGCACAGCCGCCGCGCACTTCCTGCCGCTCGGAAGCGCGAGCAAGCTTCGCATGAACAACTGGATCCGCTTATCTGAAACGGAATGCAAAGGATGTTCAGAGCACACACAAACCCAGCACAGACACACTTGCTCTACAAACACCCTGCACATTAGCACAGCAAGAAGGCCAACAGTGTAGGGACTTTCCCCCACCAGAGGGAGGGACCATACTGAAAACATCTCGCATGAAGAGCTGGCTCCTGCAAGGCAGGAGCAGATACAGATGCCTATTGAAACAGAGTTCTGTGACTTAACGTGAAGATCAGCTAAAGAAAATAGAAAACAAGTTTAAATGCAAGAGTTGACAGAAAACAGAATATCACTTATCTTCTGAATTTTCTCTGAAATCCTAACACCGGAGGACTGTTCATAAAGACACTTATAAAATTATGTCAAGCTGTAACTAACCATGCTCTACAATGTAAGAGCACCACAATCCATGGGTTAACATTTCTTTACCCTCTTTTAACTGACCCAATATTTTAGCGCAAAAGGGCTTTTTAAAAATAACCAGACAAGAGATTAAATTTGCTTGAAGCAAGGTTTGAATTTAACAATTTCTACACAGACACAGAGAGCAAGACACTTATATACTCTTTACTAACCAATCAAGGAACTGACAGGATTGTTCTTCTCAACAACACTACCAATTTGACCCAGTAAGTTATTCTGCATTTCTTTATCAAGAGTGGGGAAACCTCTTTCAGACAGGGACTTGTTCACTTTGCTGCAGATCTGGACACTGATGGCATTCAGAGCCTCCTTCAAATCAAAAGTTCTGGAAAGAAAAAGAAAAAAGGAAAAGGAATTAACATTTGAAGTTCTTATAGCATAATTTAGTCAAGGTTTTAAAACTCATTCCTCTTGTTTCCCATTGCTATTTTCAAGATGCTCCTCTCAGCGCGAAAGTTTAAAAAGTTTATCGTTTGCTTTTGCAGATTTACATACTTCCATAGGTACAGGACAAATCTCTGCCTACCACATAAAATAAGGGTGCTAACTGGGATGCGAATGGGAAGTGCCATTTTGATGTACAGCATCAAATAACACCAAATCACTGTGGTCTTATGTTTAAGTGTTTTCCTGGGCTGAATTCATAGCATGTCATAGTGAAAGTAAAAACAGCTTCCCATTTTTCATGGAAATTATAGC